GTCTCTTCCCCCTCTCACTCTCTCTCTACCTCTCTCTCTCATCTCTCCAGTGGATGTGTGGGGAGGGGAACTTCTTTGCATATGATAAGATTTCCTGCCCTATATACAAATACACACACAGTCCAGAGATCCTGAGTCTCATTGTCCTACAAACAGATTAACAACATAGCAATCTAGAGAGCTTTCAAGAAAGTTCCTATTGTTTTCTCTTCCATAATGGCAACGACAGAGACACAAGATAACCAACCTCTAGCAGGTTCCAACCGTTCCTAACGTCCCTATTCTGATTATTACTTTCATGCCTCAAGGTTTGAGAACTTACTTTCATCTCTATCTTTGTTTTAAAGGGCATCCTACTAACAATCCCCCGGCTGGGAAGAAGGGGTTCAAGCGTATAATGAAGAAAGTGAAGAGAGGCTTTGAGGTATGGTAAGTTCATTCTCCCATCACTCGCAGAATCATTTTAAACACAAAGGTAGAATAATAGAAGCAGCTCTATAGTTTCTTTCAAGAATAATTTTGCCTTTCTAGTTTCTACCATCGACTATAATGGAAGATATAATAGGGATATTCTTCAATTTGCAAATGTAAAGAAATACAAAAGCATGCAAATAAGAATGAGGAACCTTCTACCAGAACCTAACTCATCTTATTATCCACGATCTAGTGTTTTATTCCCTTCCCTAGAGCTTAACTGATAACTTATTTTGTTTTTTATCATGCTTCTTGTTGCAGTGTCCTCACTATACGTTACTATTTGCTCTGCGAAGATGCTTTTGCTGAAGATAATTTTGCTGAATATGCTTTGGTTGAAGATGCTTTTGCTGAACAATGATTTCAAGGATTATGATGTTTTATGTTGGTTTTGATTGCGTTGAGAAGTGATAGTTGTTCTATCATTACTATTCTGTGTGTATGATTATCCCTTGTAATAAATATTAACAGTTATAAAACTACTTTGGAACCTACATACACAGATCTTCATGATCCCTCCTGGCTACAAACAAGTTTATATTTACTAGACGTTTCCTTTCCCTTTTCTTTCTTTTTCTTCAATATTACTGCCCAAAGGTTCTGAAAAGGAAGGAAAATTACAAGGCTGGAATTTAACATATTCAGGACTGAAACGATGTGTAAGAAAGAAACAAGTTACTTATCAAAGCCTCAAACACAATAATACTGCTTGGTGGAGCTCCACCAATAAAACAACGAGATTCAAGCATGTGAAAACAAATTCCTACAAGCAACAGTACCAATGGCTTCAATTCATATAGATTTAGAATCATGTTACATCCTTATTTCTAGGTATTTTAACATGCTCTTAGGGCTAAAGATGATTCCAGAAATTTGATGAAGCAACAACAAACCATATGCACGTAAATTCACTCGAAATAAAAAAGAACTAACCAATCCAGATGCTTCTCAAACAATACGAGATAAGTAACAGCTTTTCCAGCATTTATTAGAGGGGATTCTGTTGGGTTCCAATTCCCTACACACTCTTTTATATCCAAAAGTGCTTTTCCAGCCTAGCCAGAGGGTGTCAAACCCTTTGTCCTCTAGAACCTGCACAGAGTGTACGGAATTAAGACATTTAAAAATTTAAGAGGTTCATAAACATAAAGAATAAAGAACTAACCAATCAGAGTTGCCTCTCAAACAGTATTGGACAGTGGGAACAGCTTTTCCAGCATGTTATTGGAAAGGATTCCGTTGGGGTCCAATTCCCTACGTGCTTTGTTATATGCATCTACTGGAAAACGCCTTTTCAGCCTGGCTTGAAGAGCTTCAAGTTCTTCTTTGTCCTTTGGAACCTGCACAAGGTGTAAAGAATTATGGAGGGTTGAGAAAGGAATGAAACAAGCTAGATTAGAAGTTCAACTTTCTTTTCTTTATATGGATAATATTAGAAGTTAACTTAATCCCTGCAAGATAATTTCAAATTTTTGATGAGTATCACTGCATGATATGATATCAACCTGAGGTCAGTGAAAAGGACACACTACTATAGTAACATTCATGCAGTTTGACCTATTTTTCTGAGTGCACATACACAAGTGCTCAGATATTTTGCTTTATCACTGAACTGATACTCAAAAGTTAGTCTCAGTACCAAACATTGGGCGCCATATGTCCATATAAGAGAAATTTTGATGTTCAAGTCCAAGTTACATGAAACAGGACAAGTATTGTATTGAAATCTTAGTTATTCATTCACAATGGAAGTTTCATAATGCAGAAACTTGAAATCTGAAATAGAAATTATAGAATCCAATCAGACGTGATGATATGGATATCGCCATACACCATGTAGGATGAATTATTTTCATTTAACACCTAAACAAAGTTAAAACAAAAAACTCAAGAAGATGTAATCTGTACCTCAATCTTGGCCCAATGTTCATAAGCAGAATATCTATCCCACAACTGTGATTGTGTCAGATGCCTGTAGTGGAAAAATTCTTCTGTTATTTCCTTTCTCTGGCAAGCATCCATTGTAGGAAGATACATTATTATATCAACCTGATAGAAGAAAGGCAGTTTAACCATGAGCGTCACACGAAATAACAACATTTTTGTCAGCGGACTGACAAAGAATGGAAGCTGAAAGCTATGACAACTATTCAACAGATAATACAAGTCGATCTATTCAATATATGTAGCAGACCCACAAATCTTCTACATTATTGTTTATACAAAACAAAACGTCATTCATTGGTAATTAGAATCAAAACAATAAAATAATAGTTATGGTTTTAAACAGTGGCATCTATGATTATTGAAGATTCTCATTCTTTTCACCATTTAGTAGGGTGCTCAATGCTATAAAAGTGTGTAAACAAAACTGACCCATTGAGAACCACAAATTCTCAAAATAGCTACCATTTCTTGAATTATCCTAGATGCATTTGAATTGTGCACAGTTGCAGGATCTAAGTTCCAAGTCAATAGCTCCAAGAAAAACATCCAAGATTTGTTTTTATTGTTGGTTTGCTACTTGCTATTGAACAAACACTCGATTCTTGTGCACAACTAAAGTGATGAATATGCAGGAAGAGGACTAGGCCAAGCAGCATATGATATGAAACAAGTAAGCAAATATAAAGGTAGGATACAAAGAGAAAAAAAAAAGAAAAGAAAAGAAAAGAAAAGGAAGAAAGAAGCCTGAATTGGAAGTTCATAACCAGGTTTGATTAGACATGCCCTAGAATTAATCTAAAAATTTATCTTCTAGAAATGGCGTCATAAATGAGTTTAACAATAAATAAATAAAAGAAAAACCTCAAGATCAAAAAGAGATGTGAATTCCTGAACTTAAACTAAAAAAAACCTCAGGCCAGCTCAACTTGACAATTAAAACGAAAAAAATAGGGACAATGCCTAAGTGCCGAACACAGCCTCCTCTATCATTTCGCAAAATCAAGGAAGAGAATATAAACGACAGTCTACGAACAAAAAATTGAAATGAAACGAACGATAAACTTATCCATGAGAATATGTCATCCTCTGCTGAGCTTGAAGCTGGACTCATAAGGCTCTGACTATGCGCTGTCCAGCGCTGTTCTATAGGGGCAGGGGCAGCAACATCTTCCTTCTCAATGAGTCGCTTCAGTTCTTCTATGTATTCAAGATCTTTAATTGATGGCTTGGAAAGAGTTCCTGCAAGAAAACAGATTTCTGATACCCACTGTTGCCCACCATAATCGAAGCCCAAGATTTCGTCGCTCCATCCTACTCTATATCCCTCTGATTTCTTCCAGAATTCAGCTTCTACTTGGTTTACCTTTATGACATGGTCTTTGTTGAGTAGATCAAGAGCAAGCAGTTTATCTCTTAACTCTGTGAATGAAAGCTCATTTATGTCTGGTTCTCTGCTGTCAGATGATTTAGCCGTAATGCCTTCAGCCCTGCAGAATACTAATGCAAGCAGTTAATCAATTGAAAATCTAAAATGCATATATAGGTATTCAGTAGGAAAAAAAAAGGGTAAACAAAGGAAACTAGAAAAAGAGAAATTGATAGAAGCGTATAGACGAACTAGTCTTTTGTTGCTGATCTAAAAGAGAAGTTGGCTTTAGATTTTTAGAAATCAACCTGGCATTCAGCCATCTTAAGTTTGAGTTGATTCCAAGATTGCTAGCTTTATAACCAATGTTTTTAAACCCGCATATGAGAATAGTTTAATTGATCTAACCGGTTTTAAACCACGTTGATCAAAATACTATAAATATATATTATGCAAAAATTTTGACAAGCAGCTAGCGGCTTGCAGTGGTAAGGGAGGGATTCATTTTAAAAGAAATCACAAGTTTGAATCCCCGTTTGAACAAATTTTAATGTAATGATACTTTTAAAAATAGAATAAGTAATCTTTGAATTTCTATAAGGTAAATAAAATTTCATGCACCCCTTGTTTCTTCATCCTTACTGTATTTAGGCTTGAATTTTGGTGGACCTCTCCATTTGGAAACAGGGTTGCATGTCACCACCACAACGGTGACAGTATATGGAATGTATAGGTACTTGACATGCTTATTGCCAGAAAGCATCTTCCTATAAAAAAGAAAAAGGGGAAAAAGAAAGCCATGCAACATTTGGAAATCAGATAAATTCTCCATAAATCATTCTTTGGTTTTTGATAATACTAACAGAACAAGAGCCAAGTTACATAAAGAAAATAAAATGTCAGAGCATATAGCAATTCAGCGCATTGTCATAATTGAAATTTGAAATACACAGCGCATAGCTTACAAACATCAAAAGTTAAACACCTTATACCAAAATTTTTTATCCAAATTTTGTCAGTGTTTTGATAAATGATAAATCTACGGAAAAGTCTTGCACTGACAAAAACACACATGCAGGCTCAAGTCTCAAGCTATCACCTTTGCTGGACTCAGCTAGAAATCTTTTCAGTTTCTCCCTCGCAAGACCTCACTTTGGTGGAAATGGAACCATGACTGGACCAGCCCCCAAACAAATCACGCTAAAAGCATATATCTCCCAAAGTTTCATTATCAATCCTAAATTCCTAATTATCCATAAAGCACAAAGTGATCATCCAATGTTACACGATATAAACGATTGTTCTCAACTTTCTATTTTCAAGATGCAAAAGAATTTTATGAAATATAAGGGAACAAGGGGACTCTTCATTCCAACTAAGTTAAGTACAATGTATATATTTACTCAACAAAATGACCATAAAAGAATTACTTGTGATTTTCTTAAGATCTTTCCTGTTTGAGACAGTTGTGTGCTCCACAAGTTCTTGTCTCTCAACACATTGGATGGTCGCTTCAGAAACCACTCCAAGACCCCCAAGACCACAGCGAGCAAGATAAAATAGCTCAGGGTCCTTCTCTTTGAAATCTCTATTGTTCCTTTTGCAGGAATAACAAGTTTCACGCTAACGACCTGTTCATCAATGGGAGGCAATCTAGCACCATTGCCATGTGCACCAACCTGAAGGCAGATAATAAGAGAAGTGAGATCAGATCCAAATTATCATCTGAAAAAGGGCATAGCTTCACCTGAAATAACTCTGTCTAATTTCAAAGCAACAAGCTTTTCCCTCATGACCCAAATAAATCAAATGACTTGTAATCTCTTTTGCATGAAGGAAATTACTTCCGAATGCTATGAAATTTGTTGGTCATGAATATTACTAGAATGTACAAATACTGCATTTTAATTCAGTTATTTTCCTCCCTTAAAAATGAAAAATCAGCTATTTTCCTTTCTGACAAAAATGAAATTAATTCTAGCACAAAATTTAGCATTTGAAATTTTGAACTCAATATCCAACGTTTGAATTTTTTTAAAATACTCCTAACTAGTCAGGTTATATTGCTCCACCTATCACCGAACAGAAGAAGACAGTTCATCTACGTAACAAAATTTGAATTGATTCAATGATCTTTTCCTCTTCCTATGGGTAACCAACCGCAGGAAATTAAAGAAAAAGAGGCGTATCCATAACAGCATCCTTTGGATTTAAGTCTTGAATAACATAAGAATTTTACTCCTTTTTATAGGAGTTAGGAGATGATATAATAAACCAACTTTCATCCGTCATACAAAATCCACTTTGAGGCAAGCCTTTCATATTGATAATAAGAAATTTATAATAGGGGTTATCTTAAGGCACAAGTAAGAAGCAATAACTATATAATTATTGTAGTATTTTTATCTTAAAATAGTAAAATTGACTTTTGTTTTAATTATAAATACCATATGTTAGTTTTTTTATTAATTCATTGTGAAATTAAGATCAGAATTTAATTTTTTAATTTAAAATGTTACATCTTTTAAGAAAAATTTGATAATTATTACCTAATAATTAGGTTTTATGACAAACCCTTTATAATAAAATCACCTCATCATCCACCTCTAATAAAAATCGCATTCAAGATGAGGAAGATAACAAAAACCATTAATCTAAACAAACCTAGTCATTATCATTTTGACGAATTCTGGACAATATTAAAATCCCACGTGGCCAATTGGCGACTATCTACTTTATAGCCAGAATATTAAAATTTTCGCGTGTTTGCTCCTGCTGGAATCCCCAAATATACAAAAGGTATGCTTCCAACCTCACAATTTAGGACTCTTACCATATTTTCCCGCCACATTTCATTTGTGTTGATTCCCACTATCATACTCTTGCTGTAGTTTATTTTTATGCCAGATGCAAGCTCAAAAAGCCTCACATGCACTACACTTCAAAGCCCACACATTCTACGTCATTGCTTCTGTGAAAATGATTGTGTTATCTGCAAATTGCAAATGAGATACACAATAATTCTCCCTGCCAATCTAAACTCCATTGAATTGTTTCACTGCCAATGCTGATTAAATAATACCATTGAATCCCTCAATCACAATTAGAAACAAGAATGGGGATAAAGAATCCCCTTGCCTCAATCCTTTGCTCATTGAGAATTCTCTGGTGGGGCTACTATTCAGAAGCACTAAAAATGAATTTGTTCTAAGGCATTCCAAAATTTAGTTTCTTCAAGTTACACAAAATACCATTTTTTCCATTATGCACATCAAAAACCCCAATAGATCTTATCATATGTCTTTTCAAAATTGGCCTTGAAAATAATACAACTCCTTCTCTTCTTCTTTACTTCATCAATAGTTTCATTTGCCACCATTACACCATCCATTAGTTGCCTTCCTCCAATGAAAGCAAACTGTGTTTTCCCCAATGACCCCATCTGATACACACCTCAATCTATTTGCTGTGTATCAATCTATTTGCCAGCAGCTTAGCTATCACCATATACATGTAGTTGATTAGTGAAATAAGTCTGCAATCCTCTATTCTCACAAGACTTTCCTTCTTTGGAACCAATACAATAAAATAAGCGTTTGACCCTTTTACTAGCTTACCATTCTTCTGAAACTCCACCACAAACCATATAACATCATCCTTGATAGTTTCCCAAACTGCCTTTAAGCGTCGAAAATTAAATGCTATACTGTAGGAATTTTTTTGCCCTTAAAGACATTTTATATGATGGGTAATTAAAGTTAAGAGAAAATAATTTGATTAAACAAGGAGAAAAATAATTATTTATCTCAAAAACTAAAAATGTCAATAAATTTGGGATAAATTTTGAATAAAAAAAGTTATTTTGAGATGAAAATAGTACTTATAAAAAGTGTTACTTAATTATTTAATTGTTAAAGGGTTTTCTTAATAATAGAGTAAGAGTGTAATTAATATACCTTTAGCCTTCAATTTATATGAAAAAAATTGTAAAAACTGATATTAATTTTACCATCAATGCCATATGTATGATTTTAATTAGATAATTGATAAATTAAAGATCAATTTTTATTTTTTTAATATAAATTTATTGTTAAAAAATATATTAATTACATGCTTAAACAAACATAGGTTAAAAAAATTTATTATTAAATTATATCAAATATTAATTAAATATAATTAATTCATATTTGAATATTTCTATGAGATAACAAAAGAATTCTCGTAATGTTTACTGTAATTAGTAATACGTTTTAAGTGGCTTGCCCAACTAATTTAAAAAATGTAAAATAAAATTTAAAAGTGATTGTGGTAAAAACATATTCCTTAATTCCACAGATATTCCTTTAGTAAAGGCTTGATAATAAGCCAAATGCTAGTCATTTTAGTTAGTTTGTCCTAGAAGAGCCATTTAATATCACAATAGATAAATTTTCTAAAATGTCCTTTATTTTTGTATATATCTTGTTTTATATTAGGCCTGAAAAAGACATGTTATTTTAAGTTGTGATGCATCATATGAGTTATACCCAACCCAACACCCTCCTTTTGCAATCTATGTGGGATTGGAAGTCTCATATACACTTAAAGGTCTTTTGACATCATACAGGAAACAACATTTTGCATTGCCCAACAACTTTAGTTTGAGTCCAACTTAATCTTTTTATATTTCTCATGTCCTTGGTTTCATTTTGGGTGCAAATTAACAGTTTTTTTTCTTTTTTAAAGAATTAACATGGGCATATTTTGGAAGGCTAAGAAAACAGCCATAGTGTCTAAGAGTGGACATGGCTTGTTTCCGTCTAATTGAAATGAAATCAATATTTGGCTATTCTTTTATTATTAATTTTTTTGGCACATTATCCTTTTATTTTTTTTATTTTATAGGAACCAAAACGAAAACATCTTGGTTTTAACATCTTGGTTATTGGTTATGACCAAATTAACAATGAAAGCTTCTTTTGAGCTTAACAATTATTATACTTTGCCAAATTTAAAAATTTTTAAGGGATATAAATATAAGAAAATGCAAAAAAGATGGACAAATAAGAATAAAATATGAATTTTGAATTTTATTTTTACTTTTAGATATATTCTAAATTAAATACCAAATTATACTCCATC